GTGTGTGTGTGTGCCGCTAGCCTTGACCTGTTGGTAGAACAACCTCTTTAAAGGCTGTAAGTTCCTTCAGGTCACGGGTGCGAATCCCTCTCTGGCCAGTTTGCACGTAGTGAAGGCGGTCCTAGAATAGTTATTCAGGTCACGGGTACGAATCCCTCTCTGGCTAGTTTGCACGTAGTGAAGGCGGTCCTAGAATAGTTAGGCCCATGAGGGTGGATGGGAGCTCGTATAATAGCCTCCGACCATTCTTTAATATATATATATATATATCACTTGAGTCTCAAGTATTTCAAATATAATTCTAAATCAATATTTTGGGATATGAATTTTAATTATTTTCTTTATTTCCAATTAAAAAAAAACTTTTATTTTTAGCCATTGGATTGAAAATAGAAAGCCAAAACTAATCAAAATTAGAACTTACCTATTTATTAAAATTTATTTGGTTCCCTAGTTCTTCGAAATAACCCCTATCCAAATCTAGTTTTGACAAGTTCTTTGTAGTAACAATATTTGAAATAGAATAAACTAGTTGGATGACAAGTTTATGGTTTAAATTATTAGATTGGTCAATCTAGTCTAGTTTTTAAAACCATGGTCTTGCTTGAGTATGCCTAAGAGCCACGTGAAGAACATTCACATTCATAGTGAATACATACTAAACTACTCTCTTTAGAAATAACAAGTTTAACATTTTTATTTAGTTTCTTTAGCGAACAAAACACCATAATAAATTCCCCAAGATATAGCTATATGTTTGATGATGAGCCGAACTAATTGTATTGTTGTTTAGTTCACATTATCTCTCCCTAGTTTATTTTTAGAAATGACATTTAAATTTAACATAAAGATCAAATGTAACCATATGAGGAATGTTGTTAAGATGTGCTACATCTCAATAAATTGGTGGTGTGGATCACTTCAAGATTTATTTTTTCTCGCTAAAGAACTAAGTGAGCCATAATGGAAATTCAATAAATAACAGTTATTATAGAATTTTTAATTTGTTATGTGTGGGGAAGACTGTTGACAAAATTCATGTTGTTGTTAGTCTAATATCCAATACCAATAATTGTAAATATAAGCCCATGCCACATCCTTGTGTCTTTTGAAAAGCAACAAACACAAGAATATTTAAAATAACTATCCTTATCTATTGTCAATAAAATCTAATGTAAATTTTCTTGTATTAGAGCAAGTGATTTATTTATACTATGTTTGTAGCAATACCTCTATCAAGATACAAAGAAAAACTAACAACATAAAGCCAAGGAAGAGATATATCTTGAGAGGCATAGATTGTTGCACCCAAATAGATTACCATTTCTTACATGATAGTCGCTTTGAGCTATCTTCCCAAACTAGCATTTTCTCCTTGTCTCACTGACACACACACACACACACACACACACACACACAC